GCTGCAGCAGAAGGCTCACTTGAGCCCAGGAGCTGGAGGTTTCCTGCCTGGGCAACAGAGTGATACCCTATGGGGAGGGGGGTGGGGAGGTAGGAGTAAATGTGGTCCAAATAGAACTTGTTTGGACTTTCCAGGACTAAGTCACAAAGACATTAGGGAAGTCAGTTTTCAGTATCACAGTATGAGAATTGCACTGGGTTGTGTCCCAATTTCCTGATTGATCTGAAGCAAGTTACCAATGTTTGAATGTTGAATTATATAGCGATTGTATCGCAATCCTCTGCTTGATTTGAAGTGGATTTAGATCAAGACAGCTTAAAAATAACTTTTATAGCATCCTCCTGACTCGATACCATGAAAAACAGACACGAAGCCGGTCCTGCGGAGTCGCTCTATTGATGCAGTGGCTGTCTTCGGTGGGAAATGTGCTGGCAGTAATTTAAAAAGATGCTTGTGTCTCCTTACAGCAGTTCATAACTCAAAGGCAATCTACGTGTAATACTCAATTAAGGAGCCACAGAGGCGCATCTGCCGCAGGTGACTGATGCACAGTGGAATGAAAATCCTGCACAACTCATGAAAACACCCCTGAAATCGCCCGCCATCGGGGAAGTAGTGATTCATTAATACATCCCTTACCTCTGTTGAGTTGTGAATCAGTGCTTCCCTATCAAAGGCTAACAGAAAGCCTGGACAGGTAGAACTTCTGACAAGTGCTCACAGCCGGTCAGGTCAGCATGACAGGGACAGGATTGAAACATGGGCGGAACACATTGTTGAGTGAGGCCTCTTTGTCTGTGCCCTGCTCCAGCAGTGACAGCTGGCCTTCCCTGGACCTAGCCTCCTGGGGGAGTGACCGGCTTTTACCAACATCCATGCTCCCCTCCGGACTTCAGCTGGCCATGAGATAGGCATCATCTTTATTTGTCTTACAAATGCAGAAATGGGAACTCACAAAGGTTCTGACATCCAAGTACCCGAGTTCTGATCCTGGCTAGCCTGTGGTCTAACTGTGTAGCTTTGCATTTCTTTCTCAACTTCTCTGGGCCTCTGTTGTTCTCATCTATAAAATGAGGATGATGCAAGTCCCTAGGACACAGGTGCCTTGGGAGAATTCAGTGAGATGGAGCACAGGAAGTACTGTGTGTCCCAGTCCTGACAGGACTGTTCTAGACCCATCCTTGTTCCTCTTTGCCTCCTTGGTTGCCGTTACTTGAGGCAGGAAGAGGAAAACCTATGCAGGGTTCAAAACTCCTGGGCTTCCCGGGAGCTGAGAAATAGACTCAGAAACTCTCACAACCAAATACTCACTAGGCTTCTTCTGGATCTGGGTCCAACTCAAGAAGTAACTCCCTCATTTTCCAACTCAACGTCTTCTCCCTTGTGTTTCAGTTTTCACTGGGCCAGCCAAGAACATGCCAGAGCCTTGAATTCGGCACCAGAACCCAGAGGATGGAGTTAGCCGTGGCTTCCTACTTTGAAACAAACTTTGACCTCCCACCTGACCATCCCTTTGTAAACATATCACCATGGTCATTGCTCCATTTCTTAGGACCCCAAAATAGCAAGTTCCTCACTGGGCTTGGGGGAGACATTTCTCTGGCCAGAAAAGGCAGAAGGTCCCCTTGGAACTTGAACAATCACCATCAATGTTCCCATCTCTGCAAATGCCAATCAATAGGGCATGAAATTTAGACGTAAATGAGTTTTTACAGCTAATTACGGTTAATGTGAGTGCCTTTGAAAAGCAGTGGGCAAAATAGTACAGTTTGCAACTATGAGTTAGGCATAAAGAGCCAAAATTCACAAACATAATTTAGCATGTGTAAAAAAAAAAATAATGCTGGGGCAGTGCCTGTGGCTCAAAGGAGTAGGGCGCCACCCCATATGCCAGAGATGGCGCGTTCACACCCAGCCCCAGCCAAAAACTGCAAAAATAATAATAATAATAATAATGCTAAGTGCTTTCTGTCCAGCCATGTGGAGCTGCCCCAGGTGGGGCTGATTGCACAAGCTCCTATTCAAGCAAGCTTTAAGCCTTCAACCCACGAGAAGGCTGCAGAGGAAGGAGGCATTCCCATGGCACTTTGCACCATCAGAGCTGTTCAGTTCTTCCTCTGTGGCTGGGACCCCACAGTTCCAGCCACAACCTGTGCACCACACAGCTCAGTCCATCTGGCACACTGCCATGCTTGCCCCATTCACATCACCTTGATGTTTTGTTCCTGATCACCACTCAGTTCATGATCTTTAGAAATATATACTACAGTCATAAAACAGGGAGAGGGATGCCCTGCCCACACACGCCCTGTTCAGTACACATCACGTTACACGCAGAGGATCGCACGGGTTTCTTTTTGCAGCTCACTGTAAATACTTAATATATTTGGTGACTTTCAATGGTGGTACATGTAAATCTGCCTCTTTTTTCGAATGTATGTAATGCCATTTAATCTCCCATCATCAACATTACTCACAGTAACTCAGTTAATATTGTGTCATATATCCATGCCCGCAGCCACAACACAGGGTTCTTGGGGTTCTTCTCTGGGGATTTCTGAAGGATATATTTCTACCAATACAGTTTTTCTGGGTCAAGGAGAATGTACCATAAAATGTGAGACAGGTTGCCCACTGCAATGAGTTACATCTGTTTGCACTGTAATAATAGTCACGTGTCACTTAAAGATGGGGAGGACAGGGTTATGTCCCGAGGAACGCATCCTTGGGCGATTTTGTCAGGTGCATGCTCTAGCTTACACAGACCTACAAGGTAAAGCCTGCTGCACACCTGTTGCTCCTGGGCTGCAGCCTGCACAGGGTGGTACTGGACTGAATACCAGGTAACTCGCATAATGCTGGGTACTTCTGTGTCTAAACACAGAAGAGGCACAGTAGGTGCATGGCATCCACTGTCATGTGACCTCCATGAGCCGTGTGCCCCGTGATGCACAGCAGCGTCCGTGTGCTGCTCCTCCCCGCCCCGTCTGTCTGAGGAGGGAAGGCGGAGACCTCTTCCTTTGTACCTCTCGCTGTGCACCCAGCGCCCGTGGGAGCCTCCAGCCCAGCAGCCCCCGTCCCTGAGCCCCATGCACCCGATTGCTCCCGTCCCTGAGCCCCGCGCACCCGATTGCTCCCGTCCCTGAGCCCCGCGCACCCGATTGCTCCCCGGCTTTTCTCTTTTCCCTCCCTCCTTCCTTATTTTCATTCTCCTTTGTCTTTACCGTCATTCTCAATCCCTGTTTCCTTCCTTGTTCCTCAGAGTGGAATTGGTAAAAATTATTCAGATCCTGGAACAGAAAAAGGATGTTAGAAAAAACTAAGGGAATCTGATTCTAGCCTTCAGTTAATAATAAAGTGTCAGTGTTGCTCTCACCTGTATCAAACGCACCTTCCTAATGTAAGATGCTAGTAAATGGGGAAACGGCTGTGGGGTACATGGAAATTCCTGTATTATCCTCATAATTTTAACATAAATCTAAAATTGTTCTAAAATTAACAGTTTATTTTTAAAAATCTAAAAAATTTACAATTAGTCCTCATAATCTCCCTTAAGCTCCTTGTGGCTGTGGCAGTTTTGAGGGTGTTGGCCGGTATTTTATAGGATGTCTCTCTGCTGGAATCTGTCTTGTGTTTTCCTCATGATTAGACCTAGGTGATAGATTTGGGGGAGGAAGCCCTCAGAGGTGAAGTGCCATTTTCTTTCTTTTTTTTTTTTTTCTAGAGACAGAGTTTCACTCCATCGCCCTTGGTAGAGTGCCGTGGCGTCCCAGCTCACAGCAGCCTCCAACTCCTGGGCTTAGGTGATTCTCCTGCCTCAGCGGGGAAGTGCCATTTTCCTTGCAGTTTTATCAAGAGGACAGACTGTTAGCATGACTTATGCTGTAGATGTTTGCCCAATATCTTCCCTGTAAGGTGTTCTTTTTTATTTTTCTCCTCCTCTTTGCACTGCTCTTTGAAAGGACAGCACCACACACAGCCCACCCCAGCTGCCCAGGCTGGTGTCAAACCCCTGGCCTCAAGCAGCTTTCTCCTCAGCTTCCCAACATGCTGGGGTTGCAGGTGCGAGTCGCCCCTCCTAGGGACGGCTTTTGTATCGTTATGTGGGAAACACTATCTAACGGTGCTTTACTGGGCATCTTTCCGGGTCCAGCTCAATGACATCACGCTGGCAACTCAGAATCAGCCACGCTGGAAGTATTTACACCATGGAAATTAGTAAACATAACAAATCAGCTCTGTTTTTTAAATAACTTGTTCAGTGTTTCCCAGCACACTGCTGCCCCAGCCCCAGCAGCAGACAGTGGCCCTGCTCTCCTCTCTTTCCCTGAACAGGTGCCTGCACTCGCCCAGGGGGCAGCCGGGCCCTCACCCTGATGCAGGGGGCAGCCGGGCTTCATCCGCTCATCTCGGTGAGGGTCTAAGAGCGTCGCTTGTGGCAACATTTGCTTCTACTCATTACTTTGCTGTTCTGTTTTGATTCTGGCCCATGGAGCTATTTAATTTTGGGGGGTCTGTCCTTGGGTTTTTTTATTTGTTTTGTTTTGTTTTGCCATTCTATCATAGCTGTAAGTTTGGAGCAGGTGAGATACATCAGGTGTCAAACATGGTCAATAATCTGGATTAGAACTCCACAAACACTATTTTTAATAGATAAAAATAATAGTTTCCATCCTGTAGATGTTTATAGGAGCCTCAAAAGGTTTTCCTTAGTTCCCTTCCTCTCTCCCCAGGGTCCTGCATCTTAGCTTCCTTCTTTGAATCACTAGGGCTGTCTTGTACGAGTCACGGCAAACGTGTTAATAATATATTGTGTATGTGAATTATCCATGAAGAGATTCTAGATGGCACATGGGCTGCCTTTGTGTTTGTTACACAAGGAATGAACTGTATATAATAATATGTTTAATATATGATTGTTCACAGAATAAAACACAGGCACTCCCCACTCACCGACATGAAAATCCTCCGTCCCCTAATGTCTTTTTCCCTCCCTGCAGGTATCAGAGCCGTGTTCTCAGGCCACTACCACAGGAACGCCGGGGGTACCTACCAGGACCTGGACATGGTGGTGTCATCAGCCATCGGGTGCCAGCTGGGCAGAGACGCCCATGGGCTCCGCGTTGTGGTGGTCACTGCTGAGAAGATAATTCACAGGTACTACAGTCTAGATGAGCTGAGTGAGAAAGGAATAGAAGACGATCTGATGGATTTGTTGAAGAAAAAGTGATTCTTTATGATCTGTTCACTTTTCACTTCCACTGTTCTTTATTTTGCCACAAATAGCTGCATACAACCCCTTGTGAAATATAAAAGCAGACCAGGCAAGCTGGTGAATTAATGTCCTTTTATACAAATCCGACAGCTAGGTCCTATCTTGAATTATATTCAAAATAGAACTGCACTCTGGAAATAATTTTTTTTAATGATACTGTGTATTGAACTGTCTCTGCACAGGTGTTTGAATAAATTCTCCTAATGGTGTGTTTCTCAACTCTGCATTTGAATTGCATTGTTTTCTGGTAGAATATGATCAGTGTCTCCCCATGGACCTCAATTCCAACCTCAAATCCAAGTGTGAGCTTTGATAATTCCTTGAACAACCTGTATCTGATTGTACTAAATTGTGGTCATGATTCCAAAGATGCTAAGCAAAGCACAGGTCATCTCCTTCCTCTCTAACAAAACAAACGGCCGTCTCTCCCATTCCCAGACCCGTGCAGACTTGTTTTAACAAGGAGGCCAGGAGCCAACGTTTGCTATTAAATTCTGAGACTTCTATTGTTGCTGATGACAGGAACACAGGACAGTTGATACAAGTCAGGTCTGGAAAATGCCTTCCTGGTGCCTGGAAGAGTCATCTTTACACAATAAATTGGTCATTTATGAAAATCTCATCCGAGAGACCGAAACCAACACCCTAAAATGCTGCCCATAGTGCCTCTTGGAAGCGTATTTTGAGTTGGTTCACATTTACATTCTGGCGCCATGGCAACTCCACAGATGGGTGGCTTTGTGGGATGGGAATGCCCTCCAAATACAAGACGCTTAACTGTGTCTATGGTGACAGAAAGAGTGGGAATTTATGCAGAGTTCTCAAAAGAAAAGAAAACAGAAACTCTGGTAGGGCAAAAACAGTGATTTCAGTCACATCTAAATGGGTAACAACTTTGATTAACTGCATTGGTGCAATAGCCCTTGACAGAAGAACATAGGTTATTTAAAACTAGCATTGTTTTAATCTACTTCTCAGCAGCTTCTGACCACTGTGTCTTTTTCAGCAGTTGTCTTGGTGGACAAGTAACCTGGCCAGAAAAGTGTACAACATTATACAACAGCATTTAGTAATCCTACAATGACTTAAAAAACTTACTTGTTATCAATGAACTGCAAAGTATGTTAAATTAAAAGACTTTCTCATTAAAAAGTTCTAGTCAATATAGCAAAACGTGTGTGAAATCAAACACATAACTGAATTTGTACATTCATAAGGAACAAAAGGCAAAAGTTAATTCCACGACAGGTTGGTGACATCACCAGCATTCATTGTTATATGGCATAAGAAAATTTTTTTAAAAATTAATTTTTTTGCAGTTTTCGTCCAGAGCTGGGTTTGAACCCACCACCTCCAGTATATGGGGCCGGCGTCCTACTCCTTTGAGCCACAGGCACTGCCCAAAAATTAAAAATTTTTGAGATTAGAATTTTTTTTTTTAAGTGTTTTGATGTGTCCTTGTTTTGTGCTCATTTTTCTGTACAGCAGGTATGGAGATAAGTGGAGGAGTTCAGGAAGGGACATAACTGACAAGCCACCCATTTTGAGACTGGGGATGTGGTGACACTTGGCTGGTAAACAAGGAGGGCTTCAATCCCAGGATGGAGGGCCACTTAATAACAGTAAACACAGGAGCTCTTGTCTTTTTGTATGTCACACATACAAAATGCTCTGGGTTGTTGCATTTGGGTTTGGGAAAGGATATGGAGATAATTAAAAGCAATGGAAATGAAACTTGCTGAATCCCCTTCCCCCAAACCTAATAAATAAAAGAGAAAAGAGACTCATGAAATTCTCCCCATTTTTTAAGGAATCCAAAAGCAGTATTCCACAATGGCAAGGGGTTCGGAAAGAAGTTAGGGAATGTTTTTATAGACAACCATGTGTCATCATGATAATAGATCATTACAATTACATTCGCTTATGATTTCATTGTCTTTAAACTTGTATACATATGAAGAAAAAATAAGTGCCTTATACTATGAAAAATGATAAAAGACTTCATGAAGTCTTTTGTGCTGTGGTTCTGAGTGTTGATTATGTGTTTAGTGCTTTGGCTCAGAAAAGTGCTGTGGTTCTGAGTGTTGATTATGTGTTTAGTGCTTTGGCTCAGAAAGGTAGGGTCATGTAGCCGAGGTCACCCAGCTCATGATGGAAGGAGGAGACAGGCAGGCCACATCTTTGGTCTTGCTCCTTAACTCTACCCTCTGTCTTGGAAAATGTTTTTAACAGGTGAGAGGTTATACAACTCGGCCCGTGACAACACACTACATCTGACACACCTTTAACCACCTCTCCTCGTGAGAACCCAGTGTGAGCTGGATGCAAGGCCTGGGCAGGCCTCAGATGCCCTTTCCCTGGCTGCACCGTGTGCAAAGAGCAGGTGGTTCCAGGCAGAGAGTTTTTATTGGAGAAGGCTTAGGAACTGAACTGAACCATAATGAGCCATGGGCACAGCTCTGTCCACTGCACTAAGTGCTCTATCAGGTGACACTTCACTCCCTGTCTATAGCTCCCACCCCAGGGTGTAGGAAACCACCAACTCTCTCAAAATAAAGTGAGTCACCTAAGGCTTTCCTTGCCTGTGAATCACTTTAATTGGGGATAAAACAAAACAAAAGCCTGCTAAAAGGGGACGTTTTTTCAAAGTGATCTCAAATTGGATTAGGAAGGTTCAGAAGAGTGACTTTGTGAATGGGGAGATGATTATCTGACTGCATTTACTTGTTACAATAAATAAGTTTATCTCCAGTCTTCAGTTACATTTCTTCTAAGGCTGGAGAAAATGGCAGCGGGGCTGGGGAGTGGATGGAGATCTCATAAACTTCATGGAGCTAACAAAGAGACAGAAAATTTTATCCTGTCTTGTGATTTTTAGGTCTATAAGGTTGTCAATTGCTGTCAGTTTCAAGTTAAACATTAGTTTTAAGCCTAAATGAGACTAAGACCCTTTACCTTAGATGCCCCTAAAAGATACCAAGGTATACATAAGTGTAGAGGCTATATACACGCGATGCAATTTGATTTCACAGAGTGTGTTCTAAGGTAAAAACTTCTGAGAAAATGGAGCAAAAACATTTACATTTACTTGAACTCTTAATACTTTAGGGACAAGCATTGCCTAAAACATTTTTGTGTAGTTACAAAATTAAGTAGCAGTATTATAGGGAGCCGGAGGATACAGAAGACTTGGGAGTCAATTGCCAAGGCAAGTTCTGTTAAAAGCTTTCTGTGATAAACAGGGATTTCTTATTCAGATAACCTTAACAGTTTTGATTGCACATGCTAGAGATAATACTTGACAGGTAATGCTGATTTTTTTTTATAACTTCATAAAATATTCTTAGGTATTTTTTAATGTATGCATCGTATATATGTAGTAAAAATGGAGGATTCTTGGAATAATGATGACTTCTATTTTTCTAGAAAATATTTTACTGACTAAATTATCTTTTTTTCCTCTAATGGATTTTTAAACACTATTGACATGTAAGTACGTAGATTGGCTTTTTCCTTTAGGTTTTATTTGTGTAAATAAAGTTGATTGAATGTGAACACAGTCATATTACCCTTCATTATTCTGTTCCAACAGTCATCTTTAAAAAGAAACTGTCTTCATTAAAGGGGTTTTGAGGCATACTTAAAGTTCAAATGATGAACAAGCCCCCCTCATTCTGCCCCCTTCTGCCTCCCATCTCACCTCACACCACCTTTGCTGGGCATCTCAGTTGTCTGGCCTTGGCACTATCTGCTTTCTCTGATAGGAATCAGTTACTTGTCATCATTTTATCATTTTTTTAACAATCAAAAAGTATTTACTTAGCATGTAGCCTGTTTTATAGCATTGGATTGGGTAGAAGGTGGGAATAATGACTCAATAATTAATTGAGATAGATTCTTCCACATATTGAGTCTTCTAAATATTTGAAATTAGTCTTTCAAATGTCAAACATCCTTTCCTTCACCTGTTTTTGTTAGTCAGTGATGCCAAATATTCTTACACAACCTAGGCACTAATTATAAGAAAAAACTTTTCTCTTTTAAGCTCTATTATGAAATCATACTCTGATGACACTTGTTTTTGCCATCGTTTTGATCTCAGCACAAATGTCACTCCCAAGTGCAGCATTCTGCATCACGTTATGCTTCTTGTCACGGCATCCCATTCCTACTCTCTTGCTCATTTTCTTCATAGCACACCACTGAGAAATGTGCTTGATTAATGATCTTTAAGGATTACCCAAACCACACAAATGCAGGCTGCAGACAGCAGGGACCATGTCTGCCACATCGGCCACTCTGTTCCCACTGCCTGCAACTGTTCCTGATGGCATAGACTGGCTGCTCAGCAAATAGTTGGCAATGAATATGGAGTGAAGTGAGTGAGTAAGCTATACAGCAACAGCAATCACATTCTGATTGTCAGTATGAACAGTCAACATAGGGCAGGAAGTAAGGAAAGGAGGCCATACTCCTAAGCCTTATTCTTATGGGAGTGTCTTTAAAGTTAGATAAAGGTAAATAAGTAACTATCAGCATCAATGTTGTCTTTGGTTCTCAGCTCACAGTGAAAAATTGGTGACATAACTAAATTCTTTGACCTGTAATTCTGTGTTGTCCTTCACATAAATATCCTTGATCAAATACTATACAAATCAGGCAAGCCAGAGAAGGGACTGACTCTAGACTGAAGTTGATATATGAATACGTAAAAGAAATAGCTCAAAATATAGATAGGGAGCTCAGGAAAAAGTAAAAACTGCTTTGTGGGAGTGTTCTCCAGGAAGGTTAGGGTAATGAGTATGATTCCTGGGAAACTCCAGCAGCAGTGAAAGATATCTAAGGACAGAACCTTAAAATAGGGCTTATGGTAATATCTTTGTTTAACAAAAGAAGAGAAAGATGAAGTCATAGAAGGAGTAGTCATCTTTGAAAACTTCAGAATGAATTTCTGACATGTCAGCCATCTGTTTATGGATGGGATCTTCAATTGCATCTGCTGCATCTTTCCATGGGGAAGTTGATCTACCCTGGTTATTCAAATTACCATTTTTTCCCACTGATTCCGCCCCAAATTTACACCATGTGGAAACTGTTCCAGAAACATTCAGTCAGTGGCTGCCACCAGAGAAGATGCCAGCTTCCTCTGGTTGCCCCCAAGAGGCAGAGCATGTCTATCCGGAAGAGCCTCAGGGGTGTGAGCCTTGTTGTTCCCACTGCTGTGGCTGCTGCTCTTTGCCTCAGGGTACCGCCTTTCTAGTGTGGTTCCCTCTTAACTGACCGTCCTCTCATAATTCTCAGGAGGCTGGGTGGGGATGCTGGGATCGTACAGCTCTGGACCTGCCCAGCGCTGGGGAATTCCTCTGTTGCTGCCCGCCGGGAGGCGCACAGCTCTATCAAGCAGTTCTGGGTCCACCCAGAGCTGGGGACTCTTCCGCCACTGCACATAGGTCACATGCGGCTCTAGCAAGCAATTCTGGGCCCACCCAGAGCGGGGGACTCCTTTGCCAGCCCCGTAGGGCATGCATAAACCCAAGAGCCCATTGATCCACGAATGGATCAATAAATTGTGGTATATGTAACACCATGGAATACTATGCAGCCATTAAGAAAGATGGAGACTTTACCTCCTTCATGTTTACATGGATGGAGCTGAAAAATATTCTTCTTAGCAGTGTATCCCAAGAATGGAAGAAAAAGTATCCAATGTACTCAGCCCTACTATGAAACTAATTTACAGCCTTCATAGGAAAGCTATAACCCAATTTTAGCCCAGGAATATGGGGAGAGGGGAGAGAGGAGGGGAGGGGCATGGGTGGGATCACGCCTAT